TGGAAAGCTTCAGTTTGAGAGCAACTTCACCTCTTGTCTCACTTGTAGAGTTCAGTAACCCCCTGAATCCATAAAACACATCTAAGCCAGTGGTCCCCAACACGGTGCCCACGGGCACCATGGCGCCTGCAGGGGCATTGTGTGCGCCCGCCAAGTGCACCGGGTGTGTGGCGCATGCGAGGTGCTGGCCCCAGGCACGCTGCGCATACGCGACGCCAACCCCGGGTGCATGGGGAACACCGGACCCGGGCGCACGGCGAATGGGAAGCGCTAGCCCCAGGTGTGTGGCTATGGGGGGGCGCCAGCCCCAGGCGCACAGCGAATTGGCCTCCCCGCCCCCGGGTGCGCAGCTATGGGGGGGTGCCAGCTCGGGCGCGTGACTATGGGGGGTACCGGCCCCAGGCTTGCAGCAAATGGGCGACCCCGCCTGTGACTACGCGGCGCATGGGGTTGCTGGCCCCAAGCACGTGGTGCATGGGGGTGTGGCGTATACGCAGCCCTGCCCCCGGGCGTGTGAGTGTCCCTGCCCTCTGGCGCCTAGCGGGCGAACGGCCCCACACCCTGGCGCCTGGCAGCTCCAAATGGGGACCACTGGTCTAAGCAAGGACTAGTTCTAGAAAACCCAGTGACTATGGAATTTTCAGGGGTTTCCACCTTTGAATGGAAAGCAGGTCAACAGTATACCTAGAGATTACAGCCTTCACATGACCAGGATCCCTGCTAGACAGTGCTAAAAACTGGGTTTGAAACCACCACAAGTTGCACTACTTCAAGAGAAGGTGGAGGTGGTCAGAGGGCAGGCAGAGTTAACAGCCTCAGGTGGGAAATTCTACTTTGGGCTAGTACCTTGGAAGAGTTACATAACAAGACATTTCCTGAGGTTTAGTGTAACCCAACCTCCTTTGAAGCCCCATGCCACTTCATCTCTCCACCCAAGTGTGAGATGGCCTTCAAGATGCTCTGTGACTAGGAGAAGTATCGTCTATTCTAAAGACGTATGACACTGGCCTGAGCCTTCCTCCTCCTCAAGTATGAAGGAAGTGTTACGGAACTAAGAGTTTCACAGGGTACATGACTTCAGGATCTACCCATCTCCTTGCCATCAGGTTGCTCCACCTCCTTGATGGAACAATTTGGTTTTAGGTGGATTTACTCAGGAGAACATTTTTGCTTGCAAAGGTAACAGCCAAGTTACTGTCTCATATATGTGTGTGAATTTTCCCAATTAAAACTATAAAGCCTCCCCCCACCCCACAAACATCCCCAAAATACCCCCCTAAAAAAATCCCCCAAAACAGGACTTCCAAGACAGTTGTGCACATATTTATGCACGCGTGTGTTCTTTCTTGAAACACACGTCAGCATTTCACCACTACCTTGGAGCTAGCCCAGAACATAGGGCTACATTTGGTAGTTGGCAAACACAGCATGGGTTCTCAAGTCAGTTTGTTATCTGAAATTATAGTAATTGAGTCCCTAACTTGGCAGAACTTTTATTGCCAACTCCATGATTATTCCAGAAGCCTAGGAACTATTTGGCAGAAAGATCAGATATTATATAATCCTCATGCTGTACCCTTTTATAATCCAAATCACAAGTACAGCAAGTCACATTATACCATTTCAGTGCTAGCTTGTGGCATAATACTGATCAACAGAATTCAACAAACTTAGTTTCAGTGAAATTCTACAAAGTCAGGCAGTGCTCACATTTCTTTGAGATTGCATGCACGATGATCTTTATTTGTAAACTGGCTTTGTTTGCCCTTTCACTTGTCAGTTTTGCCTACTCATTTTCAGATGCTTCCATTGACTTATTCTGTGGAGAACGGTTTTGCACTCCACAAACTGGCATTAGGGAATTTTAGGTGGTGGAAAGTTATATCAACATAAAATAGGGAAACCACCAGTGGCACTATTTCTACACCAGTCTAAGTAAGAAGAGAGTAAGGCCCGGAATAAAATGCACACGGCCAAGAACACCCATTCTTATAAAATGCCTTCTTTGACGTACTCACATTATCTTAAACATAAGAGTCATGTGAATCTGGAACTGGCATGTCTGCTAATCAGAATATCAACGTCTCATTTGGAACATTTTGGTCCCCAAACTTTGCTAATGTCCATCTTCAGAAAGCGATGTGAAAATCTGGCCATAGACTATTATGGCGTTGCTTACTGAAAGGCTGCAAAACTATAGCCTAATGATTACAGGACTGAAGAATGGACGCACCACAGTACCTGTATCTCCAAACCAACAGCTTTCTGCAACAAAGTTGTACCATTGTAACCTAGATGCATCTGTTGCATGTTGCACTTATTTAAACGTATGAGTTTAAGGTGGTCTGCATTCTCTAAAATAATTCAAATGCAAAGAGACCTGAGATTGTCAGTCTAGAGCAGGGCTACTGAACATGCAGCCCGTGGTCCATTTGTTTGCGGCCAGCAGTGCGGTTTGGGTTTACGTGAGCTCAACATGCTGCCCATGGGTGGGATCCTTTGAACATGGCCTCCACTGGGAAGACGCTCCACAACGGCGAGTCAATATAACGGTCTTCTGTTGATATACGTTTTAGTAGTTAAATTCCTGGACTGTCTTTGCTCATCAAAAGTGCTGTCATAGAATCATAGAACTGGAAGGGACCTTGAGAGGTCGAGTCCAGCCCCCCGCCCTCAAGGCAGGACCAAGCTCTGTCTACACCATCCCTGACAGATGTCTATCTAACCTGTTCTTAAATATCTCCAGAGAGGGAGATTCCACCACCTCCCTTGGCAATTTATTCCAATATTTGACCACCCTGACAGTTAGGAATTTTTTCCTAATGTCCAATCTAAACCTCCCCTGCTGCACTTTAAGCCCATTACTCCTTGTCCTGTCCTCAGAAACCAAGAGAAACAAATTTTCTCCTTCCTCCTTGTGACACCCTTTTAGATATTTGAAAACCACTATCATGTCCCCCCTTAATCTTCGTTTTTCCAAACTAAACAAGCCCAGTTCATGAAGCCTGGCTTCATAGGCTTCTCTAGACCTTTAATCATTCTTGTCGCTCTTCTCTGTACCCTTTCCAATTTCTCCACATCTTGCTTGAAATGTGGCGCCCAGAACTGGACACAGTACTCCAGCTGAGGCCTAACTAGCGCAGAGTAGAGCGGCAGAATGACTTCACGAGTTTTGCTTACAACACACCTGTTAATACAACCTAGAATCATATTTGCTTTTTTGGCAACAGCATCACACTGTTGACTCATATTCAACTTGTGGTCCACTATGACCCCTAGATCCCTTTCCGCCATGCTCCTTCCTAGACAGTCGCTTCCCATCTTGTATGTATGGAACTGATTGTTCCTTCCTAAGTGGAGCACTCTGCATTTCTCCTTATTAAACCTCATCCTGTTTACCTCCGACCATTTCTCTAACTTGCTAAGGTCATTTTGAATTATGTCCCTATCCTCCAAAGAAGTTGCAACCCCACCCAGTTTGGTATCATCTGCAAACTTAATAAGCGTACTCTCTATCCCAATATCTACATCATTGATGAAGATATTGAACAGTACGGGTCCCAAAACAGACCCTTGAGGAACTCCACTTGTTATCCCTTTCCAGCAGGATTTAGAACCGTTAACAACAACTCTCTGACTACGGTTATCCAGCCAATTATGCACCCACCTTATCGTGGCCCTATCTAAGTTATATTTGCCTAGTTTATCAATAAGAATATCATGCGAGACCGTATCAAATGCCTTACTAAAGTCTAGGTATATGACATCCACCGCTTCTCCCTTATCCACAAGGCTCGTTATCTTATCAAAGAAAGCTATCAGATTAGTTTGGCATGACTTGTTCTTCACAAACCCATGCTGGCTATTCCCTATCACTTTATTACCTTCCAAGTGTTTGCATATGATTTCCTTAATTACCTGCTCCATTATCTTCCCTGGGACAGACGTTAAACTGACCGGTCTATAATTTCCTGGGTTGTTCTTATTCCCCTTTTTATAGATGGGCACAATATTTGCCCTTTTCCAGTCTTCTGGAATCTCCCCTGTCTGCCATGATTTTTCAAAGATCATAGCTAAAGGCTCAGATACCTCCTCTATCAGCTCCTTGAGTATCCTGGGATGCATTTCATCAGGACCTGGTGACTTGCTGACATCTAACTTTCCTAAGTGATTTTTAACTTGTTCTTTGTGTATCCTATCTTCTAAACTTACCCTCTCTCTGCTTGTATTCACTACGTTAGGCACACCTCCAGACTTCTCGGTGAAGACCGAAACAAAGAAGTCATTGAGCATCTCCGCCATTTCCAAGTTCCCTGTTACTGCTTCTCCCTCCTCACTAAGCAGTGGGCCTACCCTGTCCTTGGTCTTCCTCTTGCTTTTAATGTATTTATAAAAGGTCTTCTTGTTTCCCTTTATGCCTGTAGCTAGTTTGATCTCATTTTGTGCCTTTGCCTTTCTAATCTTGCCCCTGCATTCCCGTGTTGCTTGCCTATATTCATCCTTTGTTAGTTGTCCTAGTTTCCATTTTTTATATGACTCCTTTTTTATTTTGAGATCATGCAAGATCTCCTTGTTAAGCCAAGCTGGTCTTTTGCCATATTTTCTATCTTTCCTACACAGCGGAATTGTTTGCTTTTGGGCCCTTAACAACGTCCCTTTGAAATACTTCCAACTCTCCTCAGTTGTTTTTCCCTTCAGTCTTGCTTCCCATGGGACCTTACCTACAAGTTCTCTGAGCTTATCAAAATCTGCCTTCCTGAAATCCATAACCTCAAGATTCCAAAGTTGAGTAGCTCTGATCTAGAGGTTTCTGAGTAAGTTAAACCATAAAGAGCACAGACTTACACCACAGAACAGGCGTAACATCCTTTCTTGCTACTCTCTCGAATTAAAAACGCTCCATCAGGTTTCCCACATAGTAAATCCTCTGCTTGGATACGGTTGAGATCCCCAACAAACCAAGTTTTTTCATCATAATGTGGCAGGTTTTCATCCTCTTCATTCACAAAGTACGTACTAGAAAAGAAGGAGATGCAACTTTGTTAGCTCAATCACCCAGTCGCTAAAGGAATCCTAACAAGGAGGATTTATTTTGCACAAAGCATACCAAAGGAAAATAAAATGCAAACAAAAGATACGTCTGGCAAGAGGCAGTTCAAACTGGAAGACCAGCCTTCTAATATTCACTTAGACATCAACCAAGAACCCTTATTCAAAAAGGTAGCCAGTGTCACATCAGCTGAACGCAGAGCTGCTTGCTCACAGGACAGAAAACTTCTCTGTAGGAAAGAACTCCAATCCCCTCTACAGAAACTGGCATTTTGTATTACTGAGCTCTGATCTTCCACTGAGGAGCTCAGCCACTTATCTGTGAGATTAAATGTACAAGGGCACTTACTCATCAATATTCTCATTTTTGATTCCCAGCCAGTCATTTATTCGCTTCTGCCTCACTCCTTTGTGATTGAGCCATCTGTCAGGATGAAAAATTAGAGAGCATGAATATATTCCCTAGTTGTTTGATACTAACCAAATGGAAGAGACGCTTAGACCTAGATCTCAAAGAAAGAGAATCTAGAGCGGGGGAGGAAGGGGGGAACTTACTGACCCTTGAAACTGTACTCACTAATCTTCAGAAGTGTGAAGGCCAGGTGTACCAATCAGGGCGTGGGGTTTCAGACTCATTCCTGTTGAAGCCCAGAGACCTCTAGCTCTAGCACTTAGCCCACAAGGTAGAAACCCTGAGCTCCCCCTGCCCAAGTCTGGTAGGTAAAGAACGGAGTGAGGATGTAGGGCGCTCTGTGAGTTACACTTTGACTGTAAAAGAGCCACATGTAGCTCACAAGCAATGGTTTGGCCACTAAGATTCAGACTGAGCTTACTCACACAGAGGCCCTAGGAAACACTGCCCAGTGTACCTTTATATACTCATCTTAGACTGAGCTCTTCTTTAGGGAGGGAGCAGCAGAGGAGAAATGGTCTCCAGACTCTGCAGGTTAAATGGGGAAGGAAAGTACTACTGCAAGTTTGCTGGGTCTTCTGATGATGGCTGCAGCTAGCTGCCTCTCCCAGAAAATGTACTGTCAGTGGAACATCCCTTCTCTCATGAAGCAGGTATTAATTCTCTGATACCAGCAAGACTCAGAGGTAGCATGCTTTGGAGTGTTATGGCCCTCCCAACCTGGGCAGTTGAAAAATCTATGGCTATGAGTAGTAGAGGCCTCTGAGGGATGTGTGTAAGTAAGAGGGAGTACACCATTCTAAGGAATCACCACCATTTTCCCCTCTGTTCTTCTCAACCTAGTTCTGCATCTTCTGCAAATATTAATGAGGGAAGCACATGGCAGTCAGATGGTACCTACCCTTATCATTCATGTTTTTCTAATTCACATGAATGTTACCTATACTGTAGAATGTGTTCGGGTCTACCAGATATGCTTAGACGTCTGACAGTGACAGTAATTATTCAGAAGTTAGGATTACAAAAGTAGTGGGAAAGACTAACCAGTTACTCAGTCATTACATACTAGCGGCTTAATCTCCTATTAGAGCACGCACACAACTCTTGACTATCAAGAACAAAGAATGGGACTCCTGTTAATATAATGAAGTTACAGTATGATGGCAATTGTCTTTAACAAGTTAATCACATTGTTTTGAAGTGCACAGGCCTTGCCTACTTACACAAGATACTGATCTCTGATCTTGCGTAGCTGGATAAGATCGGGTTTGATGCTATTCATTTTCTTATCAATTTCCCTATTGTCCAGAGCTTGTTTCTTCAAATCCTGCTCCAGACGCATTTTACTATCATGGATCTCACACAGGCGTGACTTTAACTTCTCATAATTCATCATAATTCTGTAAATAAATTTGTAATGTTTAAGAGGGAGAGAAATACACAACAAAAATCAACCCAGATGGATCTAGCCTTAAGAATGTAAAAGTAGTAACCCCTTCAGTAATGACAAAGCACTGGAAGACAAAGAGCCATACTGCTTTATATCACATTCCTCTTATCTTACTATCAGCTGAGTAGTGGCTACTTTTGCAAAGCTCTTTTAGTTTGTTTAGTGTGCAGTTCTACCCTAAAAAAAATAAAAATAAAAATAAAAAAATGTAAGGATGTTTCCTTCTTATTCCTTGGATCTGCACCTTAAAATGTAAGACAATTTTTTTTCTTCTGACAATGAACACAACTATGGGGGTGAACGAGATCAGATTCCTTCTCCATGGTCAGATTTATTTACTCAAGTTCTAAACTGTTAACAACCCTAGCACAGGAGTCACTATCAGCAGGATTTGTTTGGCCTGCAGATACTTAGTACTGATGAACAACAAGTAGACTACTTGATTCAATTTCAAATTGGTTTGCAGGCCTAGAAGTTAACCATCACCCTCTTGTCATTTACATTACTTGTAAACACTGACACCTGTTCTGAAGTCAAGATGAAGAATGGGTGTCCCACAATGTCACTTTTACAAAACCCCCTTTCAGGGCAGAATCACATGAAGGATATTACTGCAATTCAGAAGATACCACATCAAGTTAGCCATCATACTTGCCCTTGTACTACAGGGCAACGTACAGCTGTATTTATTTTAAAAAAAATTTTAGCAAGAACATTTAGGATGCTGGAATGAGATTGGACTTTTTTTCCCCCCCCTTAACTATTTGGTGTTTAGGAGGTGGGCAGGTGTTAGCCCGCACACATCTAAAGGACCTCTCCCCAGCCTACAGGGAGGGTCCACAGAACCCAGACGAACCAACTAATTAATGGGGACAAATAATGAGAAAATAGGGATGGGCGTGAGGATCAAAGGGCTGAAATGAGGGAACTGGATGGGGATACCGGGCAGAGAGCCCTGGACAGCGCCCACTGCTCCCCGAAGGTCTTGAGAGAGTCAGCGGATGCTGCCCATTGGAACTCTGCCCAGATACGTGAGTGGATACAGCAACGGAAATAGGGCCCCACAGTCGCAGGCCCTTCCCCCAGCCAACCTCTTCTCCCTGGTTTTATAGATTGGACTTCTTGCACATAAATGCAACTGCTTATACTAAGAAGAGAAAGCTTAATATCGACTCTGCACAAATGTTTGGAGACAATTTATTACTGTGTAATCCTATACAAAATAGGCAAAGATGTTTTGCTGTTAATAATCTATTCCTTTATTAGTCTAAATGTAGAAATTTTAAGTTTGTGATTTAAGTGGAGTATTAAATTTCTGACATACTATAACAATTCTTGAGACAGAATAGGGGAGATTTTGTTTTATAGCAGGTACGTGCTCAAATCATAGTAATTTTAGGCAACTAAGTTAGGATACATTATATATGAACATCAAGTATCAAGAGTTCAGATGAAAAGATCACATTACTGTGTTGTGCTTAGGTATTGGCAAAGCTTGACAATGACAGCACCTTGCTATTAGCAGGCAACAGCGGTTAAAGCTTCAACCATTAACTTGTGTGTGTGTGTGTGTGGGGGGGGGG